ACTAAACTGAACATCTACAAATCCTGAAACATTGCAATGATACTTGTCACGACTTGCCCAGGCAAAAGCCTCATTACTAAGTCTACATTAAATTCACTCCAGTGTTATTATTCTGGAGTTAATTTAATCTGAATTTAATTGCAAGAGAATACCCAGTCCAGCCTAAAGACATTTTTTAAGTTCTGGTGCCCAGTAATTTGACATACTGCAATACTGTGCCTTGATTAAATTATATGTTTAACCAATCAAGATTTACTTTAGCGTCCTTTCATAATACAGTATACAGTGTACTGATAAATCATCACCATGAAAATTTTAGCCTAACTTTATGACATTTATTATTTGTCTACCTAACATGATTAATTATGATAATAAAATATAAAAAGTTTAACAAATATGACAGTCTCATTACAGTACATACTGTACTACAAAGATAATTTTAAATCCATGATTTTAAAAGATTTTATAGTGAATGAGAGCATATGTATAATTGTCAGCATAATTTTATGAATAGTTATTTGTAACCATCTTCAGTACTATCATAATAACAACAATCTTTATAATAGAAAACAAATGTGGATGCATGAGTATTTTTTGTCTATAAAATAGTTTAAAAAAATTAAGTCTGTGATATAAAATTTCCTAAAGATATTAAACTGTCCGCGAACTCAAATATTGGACCTTTGAAGTTGAAAAATAAAATAAAATACAATAAAAAATAAAATAACAAATATATATATATATATATATATATATATATATATATATATATATATATATATATATATATGTGTGTGTGTGTGTGTGTGTGTGTGTGTGTGTGTGTGTGAGATAGAATTTACAAAACCTTTAAAATATTTCAAACAATACAGTATGCACAATACAGCACTAACAACTCACACACTCGATATATGTCTATGAAAATTTTTTGTAACTGTAGTTTATAGTAAATACATATATGCAATATGAGTTGATACAGTATTTTAATACTTATCCTGAACATGAAAAAGTGATGATCCTATTATATTAACTCTAATAAACTCATAAGTTATAACTGCTTTAAAACAATGAATTCATGAAAATATCAATAATAATTCCCATTATCATATCGAGTGTCATTTATCCATTATCACTTATTTACTAAATAAATATATTTCTATATATTGAAATACAAGTGACAATAAAAAGCAGTTAATGCCATTTAATGTCAATATTTTTGCTAATGTTTTCTCATTTAAGGATTGAACCATTAAGTTTTTTAAGACATCTAAAATTGCAGATTACCTTTTAAAATAATATACGTGTATTAATAGCCATTTTTATTGCTGGCAAGATATTTTTATTTCAAACTACTAAAAAAAGATCATGTTTTGAAGATAGTTTTCCAGACTAATACAGTACACAGTACTGTATTCCCCAAACTAATAAAAGATAATATTCATGTCTAAGTATTGCTTATGTAGGTCATTTGAAGGTTGTGACATTCAGCAGTTTGAAACAATATGCGACTTAAGATGGTTATGGACCATTAACTTAAATTTGTCAAAATTTCTTACCGTATTTTACGACACATAAGACGCACGGCCATTTTAGCACAGAGTATTTAGGAAAATACTGTTGTGTGTATTTTCCTTCTGTATCCATAGTTTTCTTAAAACAATATATACAGTACATTACTTTACTAGTAAATGTGAGGAATAAATAAATATATAATACCAATAAATAAGTTACAACAAAAAATACTCTATTGCCAAACCAGTAAATAAAATGTCAAATGAAAGTTTAACACAGTTGCCATTTGCATATACAGTTGTACCCCGCTTAACGCGGTCAATTGAACCCACAGAGTACCGCGTTAAGTGAACAACAGAACATATGGGATTAATTCCAATAGAGACTGGCCCGACCCCCAAACTCCACTTTTTGACGACACACAACTATGTTCTAGTAAAAATAACATCTTAATTTTATGATGGTACATGCACACAATTAATACTTAAGAGAAATAGAGAAATACAGTCGCCAAGTTAATGTCCATTCAAATAATGGACTCGACTCCCTCCCCCTCTTCTCACACTACACTGCTGGCTCTTCCCTCTGAGAAATTTTTTGGGGGAAAACCACTAGATTTTAATAAATAATACCTCAAACTAAAGTTAGGATAATATAATTGACATTGCTGGATTCCTTGTAAGACCAGGAATATTTTGAATATAAATGTCATATATTTTGCACAAAAGATAACATATTTACTCAGAGTAAACATTATATCTAAAATTTGTATGTCTAATGCAAAATCTATGATGTTTATATTCAAAATGATCATCAAATTGTAAGAATTCCAGCAATGTAAATTATATTCTGGCCGGGTAATTTGTATGAATTTTATGAGCTAAAAAAAAACAAAAAAAAAACAGGGTATTATACTTCACCGCGTATATGAGTAGATGAACCGCGTTAAGTGAAAGTTCGGTTCTGGCGAGGCACCGCGTATATGAGAAATCGTGTTAAGTGAAACCGCGTTAAGCGGGGTGCAACTGTACTGTACATCTGTACTCCCTGTTTAACATAGCAATTGCACTGCTACCTCTGCCAATTCCCTAGTAATGCCCCTCCCCCCCCCACCAACCCTC